AGCTTTTGTAATTTGGTTGTGGCGCTGAACAGCCCGGCAGGTAGGTGAACAAGTTGATTACCTTTCAAATCTCTGGGAGAACAAAGTATAATTTTAATAGGATGTTTATCACTTCCTGGAAGAATTTCGTATTACTCTATTTGGCGTCTCAGAGGAGAAAGACAACCTGTTACAAATTATGACTAGGGGTTTATTATTTTTTATACAAAAGACACAAAGGCACACAATGAAAACCTTGGCAAATCAATTCCGTTGTGACTCAGAGTTTCATGGCTGAACCAATCATCAGACAACGATAATGGAATAGGAGGCAGCGATGGTATATCTAAGTGGAGAGAGGTGTGATAATACGATAGCGAGAGGAGTAATCGCGTAATCGCGTGAAAATATTATCCTGTAAAGGAATAGGAATGTAAACGATATACCTGTGAAAACACAACCTTTAATGCTACTAACACAAACTGTGACTACAATAATCATGAGAACAACCCCAACAATTTTCTTGCAGTTTACTTTCGTAGAGTTTGCAACATGTGTTCCTCAATACAACTTGCAGCTTTCTTCAAAAGTATCCTCAACCTTGGTTCTGTCCTAGATTGTATATACATGCATTCATTGTATCGTTTTATCATTATGGAGCAGCTTATGCGAAGGCTAGCCAAGCTTGCTTGGCGATGCCAACGCGGAAAAGCCTATAATAATAATAATAATAATAATAATAATAATAATAATAATAATAATAATAATAATAATAATAATAATAATAATAATAATAATAATAATGAAGGTACGTGTTGGGTCGTAAGTATCCACGCAAACACACATCCAGTCAAAATAAGGCACTTGTCAAAGTATCCGAACGTTTTCGGTCCCTTCTCATCAAGGATTATACAGGGAATGGCTCAAGTTGGAAAGACTAAAACTTATATAGCGTAAAGATATGAGATAACAACACTCGTGACAAGGTGGAAAAAGTATCAAGTTCAGCACGACACAAAACTCGAAGGAAATAATAATAGCGACAAGAACATAGTGAGCAAATTAAGTTACATTGTTAACACCTCGACGAGGAGTAACACCAAACAATTGTAGCGACAACACATTTTCTTTCTGTACGCAAAGTTCAGGATCTAACTTACGGATATACAAAGCTTCTAACACAGCCAGATGCAACGCACATCTACCACGTGACAATATTGAGAACACATTATCACTGTACAACTCACGACAATTGGTACGGGCTGACAGATGTTGCTTAATGGACGAAGTGCGATTCCTAGCTCCGTTGGGTGTAGTCTCCTCCAATGTCCCGTCATCTCGCCTCTTCGCGGCATCACCACTATCCGCCTCTTTGCTTTTCCGCGGCCTTCCACGTTTTCTGACACCAGCCGTTGTGTGCGCGATGCCCAGTGTCCTTTCAGCTACGTCTCCTCCATTGCGGATTTCTATTGATCTTCTTACTCCAACTTGTCCGGTGCTCGATATTGAGGTTCGTTTTCGCGGTCTACCACGTTTTCGAATATTGACTGTTGTTGTCACTTCCGTTGTCGTTGTACGTGCGTCCTCACCAGTCCGTATTTTTACTTGGCTTCGCGTAACCCTTCTCGACGCAGACAGATCCTTTGTCAATTTCGGTGGTTTACGTGTCGGTCTTTCACCATCTTTCACGCTGTTCTCAGCTGGACCCTGCGCTATACACGCGGAGGAGGACGGGCATGCAGTGATATCTTCACAGGAAGAGGAAGATCCACCGATGGACTGGACAGCACATTTTGGAGGACGACCACGGCGAGGACGACACTCACGCGCATCAAGCGGAACAAAACTTAACGGCACATGACAGTGCGTGCGTTCGGTGTGAAGAAGGATGTTCTACCTACCCTTAGTAAAAGTAACCTTATCTATTTCTTTCAATGCCGACAATGTGAAGATCGGTATGTAGGTAGAACCCTTCAGCACCTGGGCGCGCGCATTCGTCAACATGTGCCGTTAAGTTTTGTTCCGCTTGATGCGCGTGAGTGTCGTCCTCGCCGTGGTCGTCCTCCAAAATGTGCTGTCCAGTCCATCGGTGGATCTTCCTCTTCCTGTGAAGATATCACTGCATGCCCGTCCTCCTCCGCGTGTATAGCGCAGGGTCCAGCTGAGAACAGCGTGAAAGATGGTGAAAGACCGACACGTAAACCACCGAAATTGACAAAGGATCTGTCTGCGTCGAGAAGGGTTACGCGAAGCCAAGTAAAAATACGGACTGGTGAGGACGCACGTACAACGACAACGGAAGTGACAACAACAGTCAATATTCGAAAACGTGGTAGACCGCGAAAACGAACCTCAATATCGAGCACCGGACAAGTTGGAGTAAGAAGATCAATAGAAATCCGCAATGGAGGAGACGTAGCTGAAAGGACACTGGGCATCGCGCACACAACGGCTGGTGTCAGAAAACGTGGAAGGCCGCGGAAAAGCAAAGAGGCGGATAGTGGTGATGCCGCGAAGAGGCGAGATGACGGGACATTGGAGGAGACTACACCCAACGGAGCTAGGAATCGCACTTCGTCCATTAAGCAACATCTGTCAGCCCGTACCAATTGTCGTGAGTTGTACAGTGATAATGTGTTCTCAATATTGTCACGTGGTAGATGTGCGTTGCATCTGGCTGTGTTAGAAGCTTTGTATATCCGTAAGTTAGATCCTGAACTTTGCGTACAGAAAGAAAATGTGTTGTCGCTACAATTGTTTGGTGTTACTCCTCGTCGAGGTGTTAACAATGTAACTTAATTTGCTCACTATGTTCTTGTCGCTATTATTATTTCCTTCGAGTTTTGTGTCGTGCTGAACTTGATACTTTTTCCACCTTGTCACGAGTGTTGTTATCTCATATCTTTACGCTATATAAGTTTTAGTCTTTCCAACTTGAGCCATTCCCTGTATAATCCTTGATGAGAAGGGACCGAAAACGTTCGGATACTTTGACAAGTGCCTTATTTTGACTGGATGTGTGTTTGCGTGGATACTTACGACCCAACACGTACCTTCATTACTAAAGTATTATCCGCCTCCGACTTCTTGTAAAAATAATAATAATAATAATAATAATAATAATAATAATAATAATAATGCTCTAACCACTGAGCTATGGGACCAGGCTGAACCCAGAAGGCGCTGACAAGTTTTTCACTCCAAAGGCAGCTCACAACACGTGCCACACATACTGATGGCACTTGGGTCTTTTTCCCTCCCCCAGGGGACCAATCACGGTCAGTTTCTGGAAACTACCAGAGGTGAAAGAAAGTGATTAAATTTGGAAAGGATTGGGAGAACTTCAAATTCAAAGGATCAATCTGGGAAGTGAACTGCCTGAAAAGAGAAAAAAACGCCAGACCCACCAGGACTCGAACCTGGGACCCTGCTTGTCATGAGCAATGCTCTAACCACTGAGCTATGGGACCAGGCTGAACCCAGAAGGCGCTGACAAGTTTTTCACTCCAAAGGCAGCTCACAACACGTGCCACACATACTGATGGCACTTGGGTCTTTTTCCCTCCCCCAGGGGACCAACCACGGTCAGTTTCTGGAAACTACCAGAGGTGAAAGAAAGTGATTAAATTTGGAAAGGATTGGGAGAACTTCAAATTCAAAGGATCAATCTGGGAAGTGAACTGCCTGAAAAGAGAAAAAAAGTGTTGTGAGCTGCCTTTGGAGTGAAAAACTTGTCAGCGCCTTCTGGGTTCAGCCTGGTCCCATAGCTCAGTGGTTAGAGCATTGCTCATGACAAGCAGGGTCCCAGGTTCGAGTCCTGGTGGGTCTGGCGTTTTTTTCTCTTTTCAGGCAGTTCACTTCCCAGATTGATCCTTTGAATTTGAAGTTCTCCCAATCCTTTCCAAATTTAATCACTTTCTTTCACCTCTGGTAGTTTCCAGAAACTGACCGTGGTTGGTCCCCTGGGGGAGGGAAAAAGACCCAAGTGCCATCAGTATGTGTGGCACGTGTTGTGAGCTGCCTTTGGAGTGAAAAACTTGTCAGCGCCTTCTGGGTTCAGCCTGGTCCCATAGCTCAGTGGTTAGAGCATTGCTCATGACAAGCAGGGTCCCAGGTTCGAGTCCTGGTGGGTCTGGCGTTTTTTTCTCTTTTCAGGCAGTTCACTTCCCAGATTGATCCTTTGAATTTGAAGTTCTCCCAATCCTTTCCAAATTTAATCACTTTCTTTCACCTCTGGTAGTTTCCAGAAACTGACCGTGGTTGGTCCCCTGGGGGAGGGAAAAAGACCCAAGTGCCATCAGTATGTGTGGCACGTGTTGTGAGCTGCCTTTGGAGTGAAAAACTTGTCAGCGCCTTCTGGGTTCAGCCTGGTCCCATAGCTCAGTGGTTAGAGCATTGCTCATGACAAGCAGGGTCCCAGGTTCGAGTCCTGGTGGGTCTGGCGTTTTTTTCTCTTTTCAGGCAGTTCACTTCCCAGATTGATCCTTTGAATTTGAAGTTCTCCCAATCCTTTCCAAATAATAATAATAATAATAATAATTTGTAAGAAAGGGTTTGCTCCCCACACCGGAGCTCGCGCTTTTCCGCCGACTTTACTTGACACTTGACTGACTCACGACTGCCATCCAGAGCACACGAGAAGTCCATCGAACCTTCGACTCGGCAAACCTGCAAGAAAGCACCACTCCCTGCTCAATACACAGTGTTTCGGGGAATTCACCCCTCATCAGTTGAGCTTGAGTAGGCTGAGGAAGATTCTGCCTGAAGAGCACCACTTATATAGTGCTCTCCAGGCACAAACATCACCAGGGATACAAACTTACAGAGACGCTCCGTTTCCAGCGCGACAAACACCTCATGAACACCAGATAGCAGCGTGAGTCAGTGTCGCTCCTGGACGGTGAGACAGACGTCGAGGACCCTCGGTCATTCGCAACGCTGTCACCTCCAAACCAACTAGTCGCAAGCCCGCGCTGGGCATAACAGTACGAAGTAGTGGTTGCGACTTCGGCGATGATTTGTAAGAAAGGGTTTGCTCCCCACACCGGAGCTCGCGCTTTTCCGCCGACTTTACTTGACACTTGACTTGACTC